TCCTACCTTAAGTGACTGTACATGATTACTTACTATCTCATTAAAAAAATCTGTTTTGTCACAATAAAATAGCTGCATTTCAGAAGTTTCTGAGGTACTACCACTGTATTTAAACTTTATGACAAATCAGCAAAGATTTTCAGAGATAAAGGAAGCTGAACATATGTTCAGTGGTTAGGTATTATCCCCTAAATTTTTCTGATCCTTACACCGTGTGGAAGGACTGTCAATCATACAATAGCGTTTATCTCTCGATTGTAGAGGGAATACCAGAAATTAACATCTGTCAAACTCAGAATAAAATGAAACCAAACAAAATAGAGTAAATTAAATTAATGCAGAAAAAAATGTATATACTGTATTTCACTATGCTACAAGATATCCAGTCATCAAGTCATGCTGTATGTTAAAGGAACTGCAATTCATACGGACCTCAGTAAGTAGGGAAGACTTTCCTTCTGTCTTTCCTTGATTCCACAAGTTTTTGCCACACTTCAAAGACAAGTGCACTCTTGTTGGTAGGTAGTATTTGTGCATGAGCATCATTACAAAAATAAAATAAAGAGATCTAAACAAACCTCCAAAAATCAGATAGCAGGATAACTTAAATGGTCTGAGGGCTTGATACAAATCAAGATTACTTTTTAAAAAAATCCTTGAAATACCAACAAAATCAGAAAGTCTTTTCAGATTTGGGTATTTGTAAGACAGAAGAAAAAGCCACATAAAAACGAAATCGTTTGGGTCCCAAGCCATTTGTCTTCCAGAAGTCCTGACTAATGTTTGTATGAGTTTTAGAAAATTCATGCTTTTTGAAAGTTGACTTCTGCCAGGGAGAAGAACTGGATTCACTTTAGGAGATGAAGGAAAGCAGAATTTAGCAAAAATCTTAACTTGCTTTTTAAAATTTTAGAACACAGATGATTTATTGGCCAGGCTTCTTGCTTTGTGTATGCAAAAATATTCCTGTTAAAAATACTCTGTAAACCCGTGACCCTAACAACATACCACAGAAGGTCTGATTGCTCAGCATTGACCATTTTTATCAAAGCAGTTCAGTGTTGTACTCAAACGAAGGAGACAGGCAAGAAGTCGTTGCAAACTTCCTTTCTATGTGCTGTATCTGGTCATAATTTAATATTCATATTGGAATCTCTTACTGCATGACAAGAAGATGAAGGGTTAGGCAAGTGCCTTGCTGTGCCAGGCCTGGAGCTTGTAAGTTAATAACTCTAGAGAGGTAAGATGAGCAAGCCAAGATGGCATATTTCTTACCCACTTAATGTTTCATGTTAAATTTTCTGGTGCAGGTTTTAGAGGCCAATGAGAAAGTTTGGAGGAAAACAAGTTTAAAGTCATCTATGGGGCAGATGACCAGCAATGGGTCTTTCTCTTCAGGAAAAAGCTAAACAAACCCTTTCTGTATTCCTCTGAAAAAGAAGCCACAGGCAAGGTGGGATCAGCCTCCTACCTATTCTTTATCCATATTCTTGCCTCCATCTGGGCACCACATCTACCTGCTAGATAGAGGACTGGAGGAAGCATGCAGTGGAGAATATGTTCCAAGTGATGGAAGGATGATGCCAGCTCACCATCTTGCCCAAACAGACCAATCTGAACTGAGAATACCCGTGTAAGACAATCACATCTGAAACATGCAGACTACATGGCATGTCCTGGCTCTTTGCTAGGGGAAGTGCCTGCACAGACATTTTAAGGAGAAGCCTTTAGTAGGCAGCACAAGCAAGTATGAGGGTAATGTTGCAAGGTACAGCTAAGCAAATACTTCTATTTGACAGGCAGATTCTGCCTCTGTGCAACTTCCTCATTTCCTACTGCTACAAATGCTCAGCTTTTGATCCAGTATGGCTCTCAGAGCATGGGCTTCCAGACTCATGCTGTCCATAGAAACAGTAAGCTTAAGTGTAGAACCATTCCCATCTGTACACCCATACTGTGCTGTTCGTGGTTCCCACACAACACACCAGGAACTGTGGTAATTGTAAACAGCCTGCATCCCATCAGTTCCCTTTTCCCCTTTTGCACTATACAAATGTCCCTGCATAATACCTCCACCAGAAGCCTGTGTGCAGTGCTGATGATTTCAGCCTAGGAAAGCTGATTACTTTTGAATTTCTTTCCATGTATGTTGTTACTTACAAAAAAGAATGTTAAGTTTTGGGACCAATTTTCTAAGGAAAAGGAAAACTGCCATAGGTATGCTATTGGGGTGAGAAACCAAGATTCTTTTAACAAGTCCCAGGAGAGCAAAAAGACCACCACATTTTCATTTTCTAGTCTTGAATACAGAGTTGACTGAACCCTTAATAACAAGGCATTATGGTGGAGTCTCAGATTTAGTTTTTCCACTCCAGCTTCTGAAAAGAAGAAAGGCATAGGGTAATAAGGCACTTGTTTCAGAGCATGCCAGTCCTGGCAAACAAGGGGTAGAAAAATGTCTTCCATCCCTGAATTTTCTAGTGTGATTAAGAATGGTTTCTGCAGTTCCTGGTAGTGAGAGCACACAGGGCTCCAATTGCTGTTGGTTTGTTCACTTCTTTCAGCAGGAAAAAGCCTATCACAGAAAGCTTCATTGTGAAGGAAAATGAAAGTTGTTACCTAGCAAGGAAAGTTGTAATATAGCAATAAGACAAGGAAAATGGCTTTAAACTGGAAGAGAGTAGGTTTAGACTAGATATTAGGAAGAAATTCTTTACTGTGAGAGTGGTGACGTAGTGGCACAGGTTGCCCAGAGAGGTTGTGGATGCTCCATCCCTGGCAGGGTTGCAGGCCAGGCTAGATGGGGCTTGGAGCAACCTGGTCTGGTGGAAGGTGTTCCTCTCCATGGCAAAGGGCTGCAATCAGATGATCTTTAAGGTCCTTTCCAACCCCAAATTCTATGATTCTGTGATTACACAGTACAAAATAAATATATATGAACCAGTCCTTGGGCTGGGGTGGAAGAGAGGGTGGGAAGTATTTCTACCTATTAGGGCAGCATCAGCAATCAGTGTCAAAAAGTCACACACTATGAAATCGGACACAAAAACATAAATTTACTTCTTTCCTTCCTTCTCTCTTGGATTACTGACCCCTCAATCAGAGCACCAGTCCTTTATGTGAAAACTCGGAATCCTAATAGCTGTTTCTTCTCCTTTTTATAAGAATGGATGTCCACACTCTCAAAGTGGACTTGATTTTGAGGAGCATAGCAATATGTGCACATAAAAGGGATCTTCAGGTTTGGGATGCCAGTTGTGGAGGGTCTTTCAGAGGTGGGATTTTTTTCTAAACTTCTTGCTCTCGGAATATCTGTCACTGAAACTCCAAAAGAAGAAAAGCATGACACATGTCTGTCCTCTTGTGAAAGCCCTAGAAGAGAGAACCTACTGAATCACTCAGCTGTTTTCAGGTCTTTCCCAGTGTCCGGCCAGCAGCGACAGTGCTGGCATGTTGTCTAAACATCTGCTATTGTCTGAGAAGTGGAAGGACACAGTTTATTTTATCTCCTGTGGCTGCTACAAGATTGACAGTGACAAGTGTGAAATGGACATGTCCCACGGAATTTCAGAAAAGAAAATCCCTAAGGAACTTTAAAATAAGTACATGGTCAACTCCCTCATCACTCTGTAGTGTGAGTAGACATTCACATCTGTTCACAATAAACATTGGCTCCCTCCTCCTTTTCTGACCCAGCATAGGCAGCAATATCCAATATTGCCCTCTCTGCTCCGTTACTTATTTCAGTGACTTGAATGGTACTACCTCCAGTATACATTAATGTTTCTGAGAACAGAACAGAGAGGATTTACTGCTTTAAATTCCCCCAGAAATTATTCCTGCCTACTCTGCTGCTAGGCATCAGGGGGGAAAGGAGGCCAAAATCCAACTCTTCTTACCTTGCTGGCAGAAAGCTTTTTAAATAACCAATCAAACATGTCTGATTCTTTCAACACATGCTTAAAAAATATCGGACTAATAGCGGAGAAGATAATCTAGAAAAAGCCAGAGATATGGCTTTGACCTTTCCTCCTGGTGCTGCTACAGTAGCTATCAGATGTGATTTAAGGGCATTCATGTATAGTTTGCTATAAAGCACATTTTGTAGCAGCCCTGGAACTCTCAGGGTGGATCTGACCATTGGTCTACCTCACCTGCCATCCTCTTCTTAGCAGCTGGCAACACTTACTGCTTTAGGGCAAGATTAATACCCTACCTCCCACAACCCCACTGACTTTGTGTGAAGTGGCCTTCCAGACTGCTCAAAACCAGGCTCATAGATGGCAGATTTGGTTCTAGTAAAGAACTGGAAGGCTCTTCATAATGGCTCTCAAGGGTAAAATTGTATAGGATTATGGCTGTAATGCAGGCTTCCCTGGGAACCATCACTAGTGAAGAAGAAAAGAGTCACTTTCCCCACTGGTACCCCTGCAGGTCCCAGTGTGCTCCTGAGATAAGCAGAGTGACAATCTCTCTTTCCTAGGAAAGAACCATTTCTGGCTCTCTGTCTCAGCTGAGGGAAGGCACACAAAATGATGTGGGGCACAGAAGAAAGAGTACAAGGAACTCTAACAAGCACCAGCTGGCGTGCAGTTGAAGGGAAATGCACCCAGTGGGGATGGCTGGACCTGAGGGTGCTCCAGCTACCCCAAGGTCAGGGCCTGTGGAGGCAGAGGAGACAGTGTTTGAAGCAATACATTGTCTGGGAAGGGCAGGGAAGGGAATTCCAAGTAGGAAACACTGGTATAGTTTCCTCCTCCTTTGCCCTGTCCAAACCCACATTTGACCTTTCTAAAGGAAGGCATTTGAGCCTCAATACATGAAGAACATGTCTCTGAGAGTTCTAATAATATATAACAAATAACAATTCCACCTGTAGTTCAGAATTCCCACCCAGTCACTCCTGATCTCTTAACGCACCTTTTTTTCCTGAGCTAGGAAGGGAAAAATATACTTGAGGGTCTTGCCAGCAATAATTTAAACAACTTGTATGTACTTACAGGAGGAAGTGTTTGTTCCTTCTGTTGAAGCTTGTATCCTAAGCATGGGTTCTGCAACACACAGAAGTAACAACTAAGTTGTAATAATACAGCCACAGCTACAGCACTATAACGGAGAAGCCTGAACATCTTCCCCCAGTAGAGATTTCTTTTATTTTTATTTTTTTTCCTCAGTAGTCAGAAATCCAGCAGAGCAGAGGAAAAAAATTAAATAGCTTGAGAAAGCAAAGAACTTCAAAGTTGGTTCAGCATGTCCTAGGCACACTGTGAATAATCAATTATAGCAAAAATGCTCCATAGTCCTGGGAGGAAAGGCCGTGAGAAAACTGGCAAAGACAGAGTAAAATTTTCAGCTGTTTCTGACAGCATCAGAGGAAAGTGGAAAGCAGTAGGTCATGGAGCTCCACATGCTGACCCAGGAAGTACTAGCTTCTTATCTTCTCCTCACATAACTTCAATTGAACTGTAAGGAATTTCAGTCTATCACAACTATAACTAAGGACTTCTGTGGTTAGAAAGAGAGGAGGGTCGATGAGTGTCAACACCTCTGAAAAGAGCTGTAGATGGAAGGAAAAATAGAACACATTCCAGACCAAAATGAGACATAACACCAGCCCCAAAGTGGTTGCAAAGAAAGGAAAAAGAATGGTAAATAATCTTGTAGGACAGTGGAGGGAAATGGACCTCAGCACAAATCACACAATGGAAGCACTCAGAAAAGTTTACAGAAGAAGCAGGTGGCCAGAAGCTAGGTCAGAACCTCATGAACTACAGGAACCTGAACCACACAGCAATTAAGAGCCATGTATTTGGGTGGCTTCATGGCTTTCACTATCTAGCAAATCATATATTGTGTCATGCATGAGTAAACAATTCAAGAAAGGGCTTGAGAAGTATTATCAGTTGAAAGGAAACATTTGAAGAGAGAACACTTTGCCTAAGGTGGCAATGTGATGTGCCAGTGTGAAGTACAGGTGGCTAACAGGCAGTCTGTGAATTCTAGGGAGCAGGTCAGATATACTGCATACTCTGTAGTGAAACATTAGCATGTCATGTCACACAGAAAAGATTAATCTGTTGCCTAACAAAGCCTGGTTTTAGGCAGAAAAACCCCACTCTTCAGAACTAAGACTGCTCTAAAAGTCCTCCTATCATCAAAAAGTAACTGCAGCAATACTTTAAGAGACCTAGATCCTGGTGATTTGAACACCAGCATTTCACAATAGTCTACCTTCAAGTAAAGAAACAACCCACTCATTAATAATTTCATTTGAAACTCCTGGAAAAATATCAGCAGACTCTAAACCCCCAGGCACTACTGGTCACCAGGAAACTCATGAAGAGTTAGAGAAAGACACTGTCTGGACCCAGAGTAGGGATAGAACAGTAGGAAAAACAGCACCTGGCTGGGTTTGGGACTGGTCTCTGCTCCAGCCACATATCAAAGACCTCCTCAGAGCTTCATGTGGAGACCTCAACAAGCAGCCACTAAACATATTGCTTTTTGCCGTTCTGAGCACAATACCATGATGGGTTGCTTGGCATGAAATATTCCAGTGCAGAGATTCATCAGGAATGCAGCCAGCTTTTTGAACATCCCAGCTTCCTCCCCTCCAGTGGCACAATAGCAGTAAAGAGGAGGATGGTACTGTAACAGCAGGCACTTGAAGGGACATAAGCAAGGAAAGAGACTACTCAAGAACAAGAACCTTAATTCATGGGAAAGAAGGCAGCAAAGTGCAGGGACTGCATTCTTGTTGCACAAGGGAGAAGGCAAGGCAAGCCCAGTGGAGTCAGTGACCAGCGTGTCACCTTCTTTGAACAAAAATGGTTCCAATGGTTACAGGACACTTGCTATTAGCTATGTGGTCTCATATATTCCCAGTGAAGCACCAGTGACAGGCCCCACTGAGAACATGAAAGAATATGGGCACATCCAACGTCTCTTCTGTCAGGCAGCAATGCCAAGATTTCAGAAGTAGGTCGCCACACACACAGATGCATCAAAGGAAAGGCTGCAGGCATGCTAAATGCAAAATCTGGCAATCACGCTGTTTTCCTTGATCTAGCCTACAAACACTGTCATTTCACACTAAACCCCATCCCTGCCAGACATAGCTTTCCCAAAAAAGCTAGCAGGACCCCAGCCTCTTTGCCAAGGAGGGTATGCGCATCTTGTAAATCCTTGGGTTGCTCGGCTTATACACGTCTATCTACAACTGTCTCATCCAAAGTCATCAGTAGAGACAAGTGCTTGTATTGTGGCCATATATAAAGTAACTCTTAACAATTAAATAATGAAAGCAGCTGCTCACTGGGGTCAGTTCCAGGAGTAACTCTGGAAGTATGCAATCCGCAACTGCAGGAAGGATGCTGAAAGAAAGTTCCAGCAGCCTGAAAAGAAATCACCTGGAGAAGACTCCTAGTGTGCCAAGGCAGCTCCAAAAGTGGTTAAATTACTGACAGTGAGTTACCTGTCTACACTCACGGACCCTGCAGAGTTCTTAGGAATTATATGTGGAGCCCTGAAGAACAGAGCAGTCCAGGCAACAGACTTTCCTGAGGACACATCATACACTCAACAAACTTATAACCAGCTAGGATTTATAGGAGAAGGAGGTAAGACCTTTTTAAAAACGTATTTCCTAGCAACACAAATACTTCCTCTCTTGGGCTGCTGCAGCCTGACAACTGTAGGCCAAATTAGCTTCCTCAATACAGCCCCAGGATAGTAAAAAGTATGTTTAACCCTTCTTCATTCATTTCTTGGTTCCTGAAGTAGCTCAAGTGTGCAAGGTGATACGCAGAAATGGAGCTGCTGGATGTAGATGAATTGTTCTCGGTTAAGAAGGAGCTGAGCTGCAGGAGCAGGAGCAATTTCAAGAAGAAATGAAAAGAAAGAGACAGAAAGACTCTGTTAATTCAACTTACGTGAAGAAGTTTTTGTCACTTCTGTTGATACTGGTATCTTGCTGGCACTCTCTGGAAAACACAAGAGGCAACAAGAAGTTATAATATGATGTCAGATGATCCTCTAACAGCATTCAGCTCCAGAAAGGACATGGTAAAGAAGAAAAAGGTGTTCAAAGAAGCAAGCTTAAATTTTGCTTCAGTGGGTAGAGGCTTCAATCAGATATCAACTTGCAGAAGTTTCTTTTCAGGAAAAAAACAATAAAAAATGATGGTGCCTACTAGTAAAACTGAAGAAAAAAGCCTGCTCCTTTTGAAAGAAGCCAGTTGTTCAATCTCTCCTTTTCCTCTGGGAATAACTGATCAGTGGCAACAGGAGAAATCATGCAGATGGTTCTATTTCTGGAAGACGTCAGTGTGAGTACTCACTCCTTATGCTGCTAGGCGGTTAAATTTTGCAAAGATGTGTCCCTGTTCATATCGCTTGAATTTCTGGTAAGTACATCCAATAGTGTCACTTGCCACTTCAGGGAAATCTTCTGAGCCACATATGCAAACCCTGTCCCTCATGGACTGCTGGGGGCTCTGTGATAGAAATCAAACAGTTGCTTTGCTGAAGAGATGGGAAAAGTTGCGCTTCCATACTGGTCCTATGTATATCTCCATACACTATTGCTAGTTACATACTGGCATGGACTGCTTGCACTCACTTGTTGAACCAGCTGATGGCTAAGGGGGATGATGCTGCCATATTTAGATCCTTGCTAATGCAAAACGCACAGATGGGAGAAAGCAGAATGTAGAAAGCCTTTGTTTAGGCTTCACAGACTTGCTCAGAGACCTTGTTCCAATGACAGCATTGATTTGTGAGTGCTCTGCTGTCCCTGCAAGCCACAACTGTGTGCAATTTCTTAGGTGTGAACAAATCACTCTTCAGTTGTATTCATCAGCAGTCTTGGACTTCCCCAATTTCTTAAAACACATTTCAGACATTAAGTGGTGCAGTTCAGTGCAGCTGCACAAGCTTCAACTCTACAGCTGCAGAAAGGCCCTGAGTGCCAAGAAAAAAGTCTTGCCCTGAAACCTCAAGGCACACCAAGAATCCCCTAGAGGGTCAGACAAACAGAATTTAGAAAATACCTCATGAGAGATTTAGGAAAAGGAAACTCTGGAATATTTGTATTCTGTTTTGTGAATCTGGGTTCCAGTGGTTCTCTGCTCATTGTCTTCAGAGTTCACAGAAACTTGACCAGAGACAAAACTAGCCCAATTGCCTTCTCTTCAACATCCCTCCTGTTAAACTTTAATATCGACTCTGTATTTTACCTTCTTACTTGCTTGTTCTTCTTTTGTATTTATTTTTCCATTTTGGTCCAGCTTTCTTTGGCAAATACACTGTTTGACTAGTTAGTACATCCCAGTTTCATCTCACTAATGGGAGAGAACATGCTATGCAGCATTTCCTTGGCAGCCAGTGACGCATGGCATGAAAGTGTGTATCGTAAGAAGAATTTTTAAGGTAAAAACCTTCGCATTAGGTATTGGAACACAGTAGCCTGTAGCTAGGCATCTTTCAGGATCGTTTTTTGGGTATAACAGCAGTTTCTCTATTGTGCAGCTGGGTTGTCTGAGCAATTAGCCTTTCTTAGTCATGTCAGGAGATGGAACAGGTCTGACAGTTTCATAGCTCAGCATCTGGCAAAACTGGAGCAAACTTTTCTTTCACCATTAAAGAAACCATGTTCCATTTAGTGCCTGTGCTGAGCTTGATGGAGCATTTCTCACTGCCACCTCCCCAGCCCAGCTGTATTAGTTCAAACGCCAAAGGGAAGCTTCCCTGCCAGTGGAAAATACAGCCAGAGCCTCCTACACCTGAAACGTGCTGAGAAATACATTTGGAAAGTATGTGGCAAAGTCACACTTTATCAAGTCCCACTAGTAACATTCTTGTTAGCAACACTAACAGTGGATGCTAATGTTTGGAAGACACAAGATTGGTGCGTATTGCTCACTGCGCACAGTACACCACAACCGTAAGAAAGGCATTTTAGAGCACTTAGGAAGGCTAGCACAGATCCACATGACAAGTTATCCGAACACAAGAAGCAAACAAAAAGGAGGCTTCCCCTAGCAAGCCATCAGTACTTGCCTGAGGTGATAGAGCTGGAACCATTTTCCAATCATAATACTTTTGCTGCTGCAGTCTGCTAGGGTATGGAGATGGCAGCCTGCAGCCCTGTATTCATCATCATGTTTAAGTTCCCATGAGGAACAGCTACCTGAGAGGCTACAATCAGTTCTGTCCCCTGGCACTTCTTGGTGAAGTGCTGTTTCCTGAAAATGGGTATGCTTGTGCAGGGGCCTAGTTATGTAAAAATACTGAAAGATCCATGAGAGATGCTTGTTGGTGGATGTTTTAAAGAGCAGGTCTCTGCAGCTTCTAAGTCCTATTTCCTTAGTACTTGGGCCAGGAGTATCTTCTGCTGTTTAGTCTGACATAACAGGGAAGAGTTCCTTCAGCTCACAGAGGACTCCCAGCAACCTCATCACCTTGCTGGCCTTGATATGTTGATCCATCCTTCCAGACAGAGAACTTTGTTTTGGCTGCTGAGGGGAGACCACTCCTTGTTGTGTGGGTAACAAGCTCTGCTCTATGGCTCTGAGGCAGGAGGTCATTCTTCTCCTCCTCAGCCAAAATATTTTCTCCAGGATAACCAAATATTTAATTGTCTTACAGCTGCTGTTGTGAATAGCTCTGCGCATGACCTCACAGCTTTTTTCCCCCCTGGTTAGTTTGTCAGAGGCCTAATGCAAAGAAGTCTTCTTGAGCAAGCTGAAGGGATTTAGTTGATCACATAGGTTTTAGTTCGGGCCTTGCAGATGGTCGCCCTGAGAACCCTGACAGGGACAACAACCTGGGCTCTGAGGAGGATTCAGACACCATGACACCATAGA